CCCGCGGGCCGAGTCCTTCCTTTCGTTTCCCCCTTTTCTTCTTTTCTTTTTTTTTTTTTTTTCCCCTCTATCGAGAAGAAGGAGACGAGACGAAATCATCTTCGTTTCGATCGATTAGTCCGCGCGCGTTGCCAAATTCGATTGGAGCGTTTCGTCGCGTCGCGAACGGTCGTTCAGGATTTTTATTGGTCGACGATGGCTCCGGAATTCGGGGACGTTCCGGTCGAGCACACACGATAATAAATAAACGACCGGATAATAAGTGGTTCTCCTGACTTCGTCGCGAGGCAAGCGTGTCGTGCAAATCGGACATTTGTATTTTATACGCGGTTCCAGGGGTTACCGACACTTCGTGTTTGCTTCACTTTCGATTTTGCTTCTCCCTCTGTTTTACGCCGGAGGAATCTGTAATCTGTCGAGTTGAAAGATCTCCCTGTGGGTGCGGGAGAAGAATAGACCCAACGTATTCCCTGCGTGTCGTAAAAGGCGACTAAAAGGGAAACGCAAGATTTTTCTGTATCTAAGATATTAAATTTCGTATGTTCTATTTCTTACTATTAATTACCGATTGTGAAATATTTGTGAAAACGATTATTCTCACCTATCATTTGTTACTTTAATTACAATTTTTATTTGCTCAAGATAATGACCGTTGATGTGTACACATTTACACCTTGCTTTTTTATATGCTCGTTAATTATTAGGTTTAGGAAAAATGAAGCTTTCTTACGATCGAGCTACTGTTTTGAATTTAATAAAGGACGCGTTCGATTGAGGACTTTTGAATATCAATTTTTAAAATTTCCCATAAATTCATCAGAGATCCGCAGTGTAAACGTCACATTTCATATTTCACATTCGCATCGTGTCACAGAAATTCCAGTTCAACTCCGATAAAGATTAGTAGCGAAGTTGAATCAAGACGATAATTCCAAAATTAAGCAACGCGAGAACAGAAATTTTCGCTGCTTTGATGCAAGTTAATCGTTAAGACGAACAAGTGGCTTGCTACGGTAGTCTATAGTAATTTAATAGCGTTCTCAGTGAATGTGCTGTGAAATTTCTAAATCAAAACAAGCTTCGTTGCGAACGTTCGTTAATAATCACACGGGAGGAATGGCGAAACTAAGAGGAAGGTCGCGTTTGAACCGGGAATCGGGTAGTTGCGCGGAAAAACGAGAGGAAGCCAAGATATTTCACGGACACCGGCAGTCAAACTATAATGAAATCTTTGCGAGCTTGCGACTCGAAATAAAATGAGTTAGCTATCCGCGACGGGTCGTACAAAACGAATTACGAACTTGCCGGAAGTTGGACAAGAGTCGGCGAAGGGGTGGAAGAGGGTGGAAGAGGGTGGGAGGGGACGTCCAAGAATTGGGAAGCGAAATCACTCGCCGCTTTTTCGCCAACGTTTCATCTTTTGGAAGCGCCGTCGGGATATAAAGCGCCGAATATAAAGCTCCGCTGTAAACGGTTCTTAAAAGTCGAACGTGTCAAGTATAGAATGTCGAGGCGTGGGCGTACCTCTCGCGTACCTGGGGAAGTTTTTCTTTTTTTTTCTCCCGAGAGAGAGAGAGAGAGAGAGAGAGAGGCATTCTGTTTCTGAAATTCTTCCGAAGTTAAACTTCGTGCCGCGTAATTAGTTTCTCAAAGCTGTTTTTCGTGAAAAACATCAAATTCTTCCAGATAGTTGGGAAAGTCAGTTTTAGAAAAAGAAAAGGCGAAGAAAGGAGGGGAAAGAAGGAAGGAGCTCTTCGGTGTTCAACTTTCTTTGGATGTTTTTACGTTGATAACCGAGGGAATTAATTCTCGAGATAGGATAATTGAATAATTCCACTTTTCATTAACTTCTCAGTTTCATAACGTTTGCGCACGATGAATGTTCGATTGTTACTTGCATCTCATCAGATATGGGAAAAAGGCGATATGAATGATAATAAATTCTAATGGGATGGTTCTACTAACAATAAGGGGGAAATAATATTCACTTATTCTCGCTATTCACGTTTATCATTATCTTTGTCAATGAATTTAGAATACGTTAGCAATGAGCTATTTGACGAAATAAATTTATTACTATTTACAATATTATTATTATTGAGGCAAGTTTCTTATTATTTATTATAATTAAATTAAATGAATTCAAGTTTTCTTAAATTTGTTGTAAAAGTTTATTTCAAAAATTTTTATTTAAATCGTATTACTTGATATGGAATTTATCTTACTTTGATATGATTGAACAAAATTACTATGTAGGTGGGTGAAAGAAATTTTTGGAACCTTACAAATTGAAAATACCGATGACGAGCATGCAGGAGATTATAAAAACATAGAAGTCTGTGGTTTGTGGGCGTCTGATATGAAATTGATGATAGTCTGTCGCAATTTTTCGTCGCAGAGAAGAAACATTCTTCGCGATATTAAATCCTCCTACGGTAATTCTTTTTTTCTTTTTTCCTTTTTTTCTGAAAATCAGTGAATATTTCACAACGAAAGTCAATCGCAGAGGAATCAAGCGAGAAGAATTACGAAGTGTTGGTAATGAAGTTATAGGGAAAATATTAGGATGATTGTCGCGGGATCGTAGCAACGTGAAGTTCATTATAACTCCCTTTATGGCTGGAAGGTCTTAAGCGGTTAGACACACAGAATTATGGTTTAAGTGTTGGGACGTTAATGGGACACGTGATCCTTCCTTTGCGTTCACTGGTTGTAGGGAATCAATTTTAATAGAGAGAATTATGTTTAGACGCGCGAATAGATATTTCATATTAAAGATGGCAAATTCTATGAATCCAAACTAAATACCGAGGACAAATTTTTGATATCTTCTATTTTTCGTGTGTCTCTAAATATTTGTGAATATATTACAATTTTAATATTATTAATATTAATATATTACGATTTTAATATTATTAATATTAATATATTACAATTTTAATATTATTAATATTAATATATAACGATTTTAATATTATTAATATTAATATATTGCCATTTTAATATTATTAATATTAATTTATTACATTGTAAATATTACAAACATTAAATATTACGTTTATAAGTGTAATCAGATTTTAATGTATATCCCACATTTGGAAAACTATGAAAAGCAACATTCTCTAGAATTGCCAAAATCACCCCTCCTCCGTTAAATCTTAGGAAAAACTTTATAAATATTTCCAATGATTCGATTACTATATCCAGCCAGAGAAACGAAACTATCAGAAGGATATCTTTCCGGATAGGAGCGGTGGCTGTTATTAGAACAATCGTCTTCGTTTGATCGAAAATCTTTTAGCGCCGTGTCGGAAACTCTGAAGTAGTTGGTTCTTCGGAACCGAGTTACAAGTTCATCGTGGCCATTCACGAAGAAAATGTTTGGCAATCGTGGGAACATTCGTTGATTCTAATCCATTTTCTTCGCTTCGTTCTTTCCCCATTGATATTTTTCGCTACTGCCAGGATTGCGAAATATTATTTCGTCATCGCCGAAAAAGGGAACAGGAAAAGGGAATTTCAGCAATACTTGCTGAACAACTCCTACTTGAGAGCCATCGCGTTTAAATAACACGATCGTAACGAAGATCGTGAGCATGAGAATCAAATCGCAATGGAAAGCACGCAGGGGACAAGGAAGTAACAAGGAACTTTCAACTTTTGCGCGACTGTCGTGTTTGGAAAGAAAAGTCCCTCGGAATATGCATCGAGGCGTCAGCGTGGCTAAATGGCTACGATTTCTGTAAAGTGATTGTTGAAAAGGGATTGTAGCGGAAGAGGATATGAGAAAGTGTGTATAAAATATGGTATATGCATGGAATGAAATTTCAGAGAAACGTTATGTGTACATAGGAGTACGTGTAGATGTATTTTATTTGATATTTTTCTTTTCATACGACGCTAGAAATGGATTTCGAAAACTTTATTCAGTAGCAGGAGCTTATTATTAAATCCTAGTTCGTAGGTCGTGGAACTGAACTTGATTCACATTCATTTCGTCACAACATTTCTTTTAAATTCTTTATTTAACTCTGGTTATCTGTTTCACATCCCCTATTTTTTGAATCTATTCTGAATTTGTAGCCAAGACTTTACAACTCTAGCGTCGTATCTTGTCTAATTTACTTTTCATTTTCTTCTTCTCTTTACTTTAATTTTTCTATCCAATTCACGCAATTCTTTCTCGTTTCTAATAACTTGTCTGTCGAAAAATTAACCCTTTTCATTTCCTCGCAATCTAATTTTTCATTGTTCACAATACACACATTTTGCTTTCCTCTTTTATCCAGTTAAAATTTCTCTCAACAATTTTTGACTATTACTATCTTCTCTAAATATTCCATTCCTCCTATGCATCTTATAAAATTACACGTGCAGTTGTATCTGGAATTTCTTATTGCAACTGTAGCCCTCTCGAAGTCCTCTTTCTCCCAACAGCTTTCAGTTGGTGATATTGTTCAAATACTAATCTCGTTGTTGTTCCAACCAGGTCAAACTCATTCTCACATGTTTGTAAAATTCCTTTCAATTCGATTATTTCACTTTATTCAGATTTGTCTTACTGCAAGCTAACTAATTGATACTTTACACGTTAGTTGGACACATCGCGCAGTACATACCTAACGGCACGCTACATTTCAATGTCAGGGCAGCATCTGCAGAAAATCAAACATCGAATTATCAACAGTACAGTTAGTACAGTACACCCTTTCGTCAACAGTCATCTTTGAGAAACCAGAGTCTTCCAATTTCATCGAGCAGCGTATTATCGACAATCTCGCTAATTTTAATTAAACATTTTTACCCTCTTCCTTTCTTCCCCTCCCCCCCAATAAACCTTCGAATCTTGTTATTTCCCGGCCTCGAACCATTCGCCACTACGATGATCGCAGCGTAGCTCGCATGCGGGTGCATGTGCCGGTGGATGGCAACGCTTGCGCAGTGATGGCGTACTGCCAGACAGCTCGCCGCTACGGGTGCATCTCGCGGCAGTTGGCAGTCGTCTTCTAAAGCAAGCTCATTAGTCGCTCAGCATTCGTCCGGGACACCTTACCGTGGATCACGCTACACACACATTAGGAACACCTCGGTGCCCCGTTTCACTCGACATCCACCCTTTCGTTTCCCTCTTAAAACCCTTTCTCTCTCTCTTTCTTTCTCTCTCTTTCTCTCTCTCTCTCTCTCTCTCTCTCTCTCCCTTCCTCCCTCCCGTCGTCGTTCGTTCATCGCGCGCCCTTTCGTTTCCACTGAGACGTTTGTCAAGACCAGTTATCGAGAACCAGTTTACCAATCAATGAGCAAAGTTCTCATCAGGCGTCGAGTCGAGAGATCAAGTTCACCTCGCGCGCGACATACCCGCGAGGGGATGCAACGAAGCTCGACAGACTCTCGTGCACGTGCCAGTTAGTTGACTCTCGAACGGAGCGTCGAACTCGGACCACGCGTTTCTCTCCCTTCTCTTTCATCAGAGTACTCTTTCTCCTGGTACTTCTCCTGGTTTGTACCCTCGGTTATACGAGGTCCGTCCGGCTCCAGTGAATCGTCTTCTTCAGTCCACCGACACGCACCTCCGATGATCCAGTGTCACGTAGCGTCCATGTTCATCGCGTAAATAACTCAGTCGGTATCGTGATACGAATAAATAATAATCGACTCGGGAAAGGAAACAGAAGGGGGAGGAAGGGAAAGAAAAAAAGAAAAAAAAAAAACAGATCGAGGATCGATCGGGCGAGCGTCGAGCAGTCGAGGGTGGAAGGCGGAACTCGGGCGGGCCGGGGTCATCGACACACCGTGACGCGTCGGCCGCGACGGTGCTGTGGACACCGAAGGGGAGTAAGAACGAGGGTGCACGGTACCGAGAGCACGGTGCAGCATCGGCCGATGGTCGAAACAACGTCGACCCAACGGTTCACGATCAAGTTACCGATGCTGCAGCCACCGTCTCCTCTCTTGGAGATGGCATCGCTCCGTTTGCCAGACTCCGAGGAGTTCGACGTCGACACCCGCCGCAGGAGTAACAATGGCAACGTACCGCCGACCACCGTCTCGGCCGTTCCACCGGCCACTGGCACCCTCTTGCAGATGAAGAACGACATTGGCGATTATCTGAACAACCTGATAGCGGAGGCGATCACGACGAACCCGAGGACGCCGATGGAGGAGCACGGCGGATTGTTGAACGCCAGTAAAACGGCGAACCTGTCCACCGCCGAACAGATTCCCGATCGATTGTACAGGCACAGCATGGCGATGTCGGCGGTATACTGTGTCGCATACGTTCTGGTATTCGTCGTCGGCCTGATCGGCAACAGTTTCGTCATAGCCGTGGTGTATCGGTCACCGCGGATGAGGACCGTCACGAACTTCTTCATCGTCAATCTCGCGGTCGCCGACGTCCTCGTCATCGTCTTCTGCCTGCCTGCCACGCTGATGAGCAACATCTTTGTCCGTGAGTACCAGTCCGTCACTCGCCATTTACCTTACGCACGCTTTCAATTTCAACGATTTCTCGAGGCTCTCGAACTGATTTAAGAAACCAGGCGGTTTAAGTTTAATTAAACACGACGTAGATCAGGCGGTGAACGTTTCGCGGAAAGAATTCGCAGGAACGGCATGTTCAGAGAGAAAAGAGTTTCGGCTTGTGGGAAAATCGAAGGAAGCTGCCGGAACGCGCGTTGCCTCCCTCGGTATATTGGACTGATCGAGTCGCTGGGCTTCCCAAGGGCGTCCAAAGTCTATTCTATACATAGAATTATTAATATCGGTGGAATCCGAAGTATACAGTAGAATCTCAGTTATTAGAACACCGATTAAAGGAACGATCGATTATCGGAATTGTCAATTGACAGAGAATTCCGATGGCCACTCGCCGGGGAGAGATTCGGGGACGATGATTGAAACCGTGACAAAATATCCGACAAAATATTCGTACGAAATCCATTAATTTACCCGCGAAACGAAACAGATCCGATTCGATCCGATCTAAATATCGATTGTTGCATCGCGATAACGAATCGCCTTCCGCTATTAGATTACAATTTCCCGTGTAACAAAACGCACGACGATTCTAATTCGACCGTTGTGCGAAATTTACCTTCCGCGACTCTCCCATAATGGCACCCCTAAATGGCAGTAAATCGCACAATCGTTCAAGCAACATTTCTCGTTACATTTACAATCATCGGCGACAATGCGTTCGCGTAACGAGACAGGCGAGCCAACAACTCTCGTTATCGATCTCTGGTATTGATCATGCGTGATCGAACGAAAGTGGCAGCGTGACGGAGTAGGGGGTCAGAGAAAAAACGTGAAAATTGGATCGAAGGCGATTAAAGGGGTGGCAGGGTGCGATTCGTTCGGCGTCCATTTGTCGTTGCAGGGGCCTCCGCTTTCTGGATCGGGCTCGCGCGCGCGAGAGAGAGAGAGAGAGAGAGGGGGGAGGGGTTGGGAGGGTTGAGAGGGAGGGGGAGTGGAAGGGTGCCCGGCGGAGTTCCCTTGCCAGTGCGGAATCGATCCCTTCGTGATTCTCTCTGGAGCGCGGCGAGCGTATCGCGATTCCGCTTTCACACAAGGACCGACAGCTTCATCTCGAGTAACTGCGGATAAATTATTCTATAATGGAATCGCGCGAAACTTACCCCTTCCACGGCGGAGCGCAGGGAGGAGGAGGGGGAGGGGAAGCTCGACGATTCTTTTCAATTTCTCGCGCGCTTCATCGCGATCCCGGCCGGATTTATTTTCGAGAGAATAATTTCATCTCGCGCTCGCGCGAGTGATCGATTCGACGATCCATTTATCGCGCATTTTTATCGGGAAATGTATTCTTTTTTTCTTTTTCCTTTTTGTAACGGAAGTGATTTACTCTGCAGTGTTTTACGTTTTCATTTTTGTGCTCGTCGCGCGGCGAGAAGTTTAAGCAGTTTTTTTTTTTTGTCAAAATTGTTTACGCGCGAATGTATCTGCGGAAATATTTATCTAAGAAATATTTGTTTAAGGGGCGAATCTTTGAAGCATACGATAGAAATTAAAAGTGAAATAATAGGAAAATGCACGAAAATTGTAAATTTGCAAGTGAGACGCGATATTTTACTTAATCTAGATTTTAGTGTGGATGAAAAAGATTGACGTTAATAAAATATTTATTTGCCATCGTGAGCAATCTGGTACGATCGAGTTGGTTTAACTTGTTGGATGAAAAGAATCTAGGTTTAAATTTCCTAATTATTCTGAAAGGGAAATTTAATTATTCGAAAATTATTTTTGAAAGGAATAGAAATAGAAATAAGTAATAAAGAGAAATAAATAACATGCAGAAATAGAAATAATGTACCATAAATTAATTTTACATAATTATACACTTTTGTATAATTTGTCACGCGAATATTCTGCGTTTTAATTTCATCATAATGGTCGATTACAAAAGATGATTAATAATCATTAGGACCAACAGAATAATCTATAAATCCCTGATGGGTAGACAAAAGAGTACAAATTAAATTTTGATCGAAATAATATAAACTATGCATGTACATTTTGCACATTATGTTATATAATTTGTGAATTATGCTATGTGATTCAAAATTTGCAGTTTTTGAGTTGTTGGTGAAAAAGAAATATTATTACAGGAATTTTTGCATATCCATCGGAGAAATGTAAACAGTCATCAACTATTTAAAAAATTCAATCAACCGTCAGCATTGCGTTTAGTGTTGTATAAAGTTGGAAGTTTCAAGGCTCAACTTTAAAAGTCGAGTTTTTAAGGACTGTTATCGTACGAAACTCAAAGCACTTTCGAAGCTCCAAGACTTAAATCTCCAAGTCCTTGAGACTAAAGTAAACAATATCATTGACGTATGTGACATTTCACAGTCCACGATCGCAGTTTGCAATTATTATTGCGTACAATAAGACAGCTGGTACAGCAAACTTCGAAAACCTCGAGGCTTGAACCGCGGACTCTAGCTTTCGAAGCTTGAGACTCATTCTACTGCACTTTTAATTGCGTTCTTGCAATAAAACACGATTTTTATTAAAAAAAACTTGAATTTTGTTCAATCTTTCGCACGCTGCCAAGATCATTAACCGAATTCATTTCAGTCTTCGAGGGAAGTTTCAGTCTTTCGCGAATTTTTCGATCGCGCGGTGGATCGATTTCACGACGATTAATTAAACAGGTCGGTCAATTTCGATTCGATGGATAATGGGAGGGATAACGAGCGGCAAATATAATCTCGCCGAAGGTGGATCGTCCGATTAGCCAGAACTAGCCAGATTACGTGCCTGTGTCCTCTATGCAACTGATCTTCGTCTAATTACGCCAGTGTGAACTGGATCGAAGGACGAGCTGGATCGAGACAAAGAGGTCATCTTTACGATTTTCCCGCGTCCTCGGAGGTGTGTCGCGCGAATACGAAACAAAAACGCTTCAACGGGGATTTACGAAGATCCACCGTGAGGGATCGTTCGAACGAAGATATTTTACTGGCCTTGCGTATCGGCTTTACTGCTCGCGTTAGGGGCGTAATGCTGTCGTGTTAGCGGCGTTAAAGGTTATTGAAACGTAATAAGATCATCGTCGTTTCCCCGTTTTAGCGGACCGTGACAGATCCGTCGACTTTTACGGTATATTTTATTGCCGAAGTATTTGTCACCGGTCTTTTCTTGTTAGATCCCTGTTTCATTGGCGTCGTTGCCTCCGATTCCTCCGCGTTTCGGTATTATCGATAGAAAGTGTCGATGTGCAATCAATTTCGGAATAAATTTTAAATCAAATATGCATAGATTCGGTTGAAATTCGTATAATTTCCGATTACGGGAATTTTCGTTCGGACGTGTATCGAATAACGTGCCTTTTTATTATTCAACCGATTAAAAATAATTAAATGTGGCAATTTTTGCAGGATTGATCCTAGTATTAAATAATCCTGTTTCCTTGCAAATCTAATAATTTCTCTCCGAATAGGATTGGTTGCATTTTCGACTGTGTTTGTCAGGCCAGTTAATAATTTCTTCGTTTTCGTTTTATTGCTTCGCACAAACAGTAATTTCCCTTGTTCTAGTTTCACTCGAATCCAGTAACATTTCTTAACAAAAAAAAAAAAAAAAAAGTCGAATAACATTTGGTCGCAACATTTTGATCTAGAATATTATTGAATCACCGTCGTTCTTCGTTACTGCGAATTTTCCGTTTCCATTTCGCTACTTCTCAGCCAGTAAATTGGCACGAAAGGTGTTCCGTTCGAGAAACGACGATCAGTTCATCTAGTCTTGAATCGCAAAGGTCGCGATAATTGTGGATAGAGACAGTGTTCGGCCATGAGCCTCCAGACTCCTCGGAACAGCCAATTGTCAGAGCGTGTCGCATGACTAACGACGTCATTAGCACGCACTCGTGCGGCGAACGCGCCTCACCAACCTTGTTTTCTCCGAGAAATTCAAGTGTTTCGTACAGACGGAACGCGACTTGTTCACCGTCTAAATTATTTGCGCCGCAGACTCTGAATTTTCCGTCTGGCAAACTCACGTACATACGCCGTGCGGTTTTTCTTTCAACGTGAAAGTTTGCTTGTTTCTTTTTGCAACGCTTTGGCATAATTAAAGCATTGATTTTTCTTCGTTTCCCTCTTCTTTTGTGTCTCGGAAGGAAGATTTAATTTATCTTCACAAAGGCTTTCGAAGGTAGCTGAATATTCGTAATATAAAACGATCTCTTCAAATTTTCGTTCGCAATGTTTTCGAAATGACTTCAAGTGTCGTTCAACTTTTGCAAACTGAACCATCTCGTGCTTGTTTGTCAGATACAGTACCAAAGCTCAGAAATGTAATAAATATACCAGGTAAATATTCGTACAATGTCCGTTGTTGAGAAGAGAGGGGAATAAATAATTTGTTAAAATACTTGTTTTTTTTTTTTCATTCACTTTCGTATCGCGCCATAACCCAGTTTCGATCCAGTTTCGTTGAAAATAAAATAAAAGAAAAGAATTTATCAATTGCTAGCGTTTGAGATTCATTTGAAAGAGGAGAAAGTAAAAACTCTGCACAGCTCGGCGAAAGTTAATGGATTTTAGACACATTTAGAAAGCGCATTGTTGCTCGTACATCAAATGCGGCAAATACGCGGCGCGGAAAAAAGTGGAAATCTATCTTTACGCCGCGATAATTAATTACTTGTTGAATGGTTACGAAAGGGCAGAAGTTTATTCCGCTAATAGGTTAACTTATAAGTGATGAAGGAATCGCTATACTTTGAAAGAAGATATATTTAATCGCATCACACGGATCACGGGAATTTACGTAAAATATCACTTTATTTTCGTTGGAAAACGAACAACCTAGACGTAGTTTTATTTGTGACACAGAATCTGTGTGACAAAATTTTTTAATACCTATAAACAGTTCACATTACATTATTCGAACGTTACCTACGCACGATGTCGAAACTATTTC